AGGAGGACAGGCCGCCATACAACATGCCCACATTGTTCACTGCGCAAGAGGTCGCACGGTGTCCCTCACAGGGCCAGGGACACTGGGTGGGGGACAGGGAGGGGACTCAGTGCAGCAAGCGGGCGACTCACCCAGCACTCCGATCTCCAGGCCCCGCAGTCCTGCCTCGATGGCACCGTAGATCTCCAAGCCCCCGGTGAAATCGGCCTGAATGACGCGCGTGGACCTGCCGTGGAGCCGCTCTGGAGGACAGAGGGGGATCAGGCTTTGGCCCCGCCCCAACCCAGGCTGCAGCTCACAGAGCCTCTGGCTGTCAGCTGCCCCAAACCCCTGCCCAGGGCTGGGCGGAGCTTCTGCACGCGCACTCACCGATCTCCCCCGCCTCGTGCTCCAACTTGCTGAGGTTTCGACTGATGAGGACGACGTTCAGCCCCCTCCTGGCCAGCTGCGGAAATTCATTCACTTCCTCAGTACCCCCGCTGCCCCTCGCCAGGTACTGAGGATTGAACCCAGGGCCTTCGCACTGGGCTGCTTTGCCAGCCTTTTCAAATCTTTTCAGACAGATGCCCCCTCAGTCGTCCAGGCCTGGTTTCAACTTGCGATCCTCCTGCCTCGGCCTCCCAGAGTGCAGGGATTCCAGGCGTGTGCACCTACACTGGCCTATTTTGCACATTTGGTCATTTACCGAGCCAAGAAAGATGGGCCACGTCCTGACCTTGAAGCTCAGTGTTAGAGCCCTGTGGTCACAGCGCTGGGCAGAGAAGCGCAGCCCGGGGAGGAGGAGGAAGTTCCAGGGAGCACAGCTACGAGGACAGCGGGCGGACCGACATGGCCATGGAGGCTGTGTGGGAGGGAGCTCCAGGGCCCAGCCTCCGCACGGAGACTCTGCTTCTGCGCTGGGCAGTGTAAGCACCCGCTCCACGCCTGCGCTCCTGTCGGTCTCTCTCTCATTCCCGTGTGTCTACCGCGCACCTGCTCCTGCTGCGGGATTGGGGACGCGCTGTGATTGTGACACCCCCACGTTCAGCCCCTCCCATACACGCTCCACTCAGCTGCAAAGCGCAAACCCAACCCTGGTCCTCTCCTGCCCAGAACCGGCCATGGCTTCCCAGGGAGTCTGTGACAAAACCATGCTTCTCATTCTGGGCCTGTGTGGCCTGGCTCCTGCCCCTGTCTTCAGCTGCACTTCCTGCCGTGTCCCTCTGTGAGAAGCCAGGCATAGCAATGATTCGTCTGGTCCTGACCAGCACCTCCTGGTTTTCCTGCCCCTGGGCCTTTGCACATGCTGGTCCTTCTGCCCTAAAGCCCCTTCCCCTTGATGCCAAGTTACCAAATACACAAATTTGGGGAGTGGGTGTTGAGCAGCATTTCGATGCCTGTCTGTCCATCTGCATGCTAAGGGTGACACATCATGGGACTTACTGTCCCTCA